CAAATGCCTTGGCTAGACAAATTTTTAATTGGTCAGAACTGTGACAAACTCTATATGCTCTTCCCAGCTTTATTTGTAGCAGTAAAAACTGTTTTTTGAGAGGGAGCACCAAAATTATGTTCATTCTTGCACTGAAACATTCTGCTCTTGACAAACTGTTGAAAGTGAGCTATGTATAATAAGCTCACTCATGAATGAGTGAATAACCTGATAAATAAGGTTAATAATTTTTAACAGTGCCTCAGCTGTAACAGCAACACTGTCAGGCTGGTGCTGCACCAGTGTAAAGGATTTGAAGAAGGAAGTACTCATACAAGAAAGTCGGATAGTAATTCTTATTTTTATGCTTGAATCGCTGATTTAATCACCAGTTTTCTCCATTAAACTACTTTGTATCGACATCTTTCATTTTTCTGTCCTTTGAAGGTGGTAAATATGATTGCCATTTTGTCCATTTTTTGTTACAAATGAAACAGACTTCAGAGCGCTTGGCTGTGCATCAGTTGTTGGAATGCTGCCATACACTAATGCAGACTCCCCACTGTGAGCCCACTGAAGAATTATACTTTGATTCACCAGATTGTATTAAATAGTCCAGCTGTTGGGATTTGAAAGATAGTTACCTCCAAAGTGAAATAAAAATGAACTTGGCATTTATGGCTTGACCATTTTTATAGTGTTGGGCAATCAGCTTTTCAAAAGTAGCACTTTTTAAAATAACCCTTTTCTGGTTACACTGCTTTAAAAAGTTTAATTTGCTGTAACATTCAAAATACCCCACCTTGTATTTTTCTGAATGATTGGCAACTTCTGCATAAAATAAGCATTATTTCCTTCATGAAGTCACTAGCTTCTGATGATAATCAAATGAGTCTGAAACTGTATCTATTAGTGCCAATTTCTGCATTAATTAACTTATACCAAAGTTCTGATGTTAGAGACAATTCTTGTAATTAAAGCTTGATCGTGGAAGTTCATTTGCTGTATCCAGTGCTGCAGCAGCAAGCTGAGTAAATTCTTTCTGAAATGGAAAGTGCAGCAGCTGTTGTTTCTATGATTATTTATTTGGTTTTAACCTGTTCATTTACTCTCTCCCTCTGAGGTGGGAGCCAGTCCATTCCCCACCCCACACTCTGTTGTTGAGTAGGGTGACCCCTCTTCTTCTTTGTCATTTTCTCTAGGACAAAGACCGTCACAATAAAGGGCAGTTCGTAGCAGATGGATCCAGTAGCTGAATTTCCTTCTCTGGCCTCCAGTTGATGCTACTTTTTCCTTTCTAGGGTGTTATCTTACCAGAAAAAGGGTGAAAAATAGAGGCTCTTGACTAGCCAATGCAGTTGTGTGCAGCAGCTGCCCAGCCAGCAGTGTGTGCAGGACCTTCCAGCACTAAGGGTTTCAGCAGCTGCCCAGTGTGGTGCTTGTGGCCATGGCAGCGTGGGTGCCTGCAGTGGGTCCAGTGCCTAAAGATGGGCCGGGGACCTGCCCTGAGCCTGCCCGGCTTGTGACCTCAGGCACATTGGCTGGCAGGCTCTGCAGGGCTCGCTGGAGGAGGTCCAACCTGTCTGCCCACCCAGCAGGGTTAGGATGGCATTAGGAAACCCCAGTCTGCCACTTGTTGGGATCGAGCGTTCCCAGTGCTTGCCACGTTCTCTGCTGGTACGTTCCAGCTAATCGAAGGATTTCCCTGCGTGTTTTCAACACTGATGTGTCCCTTTTGAATATAGACAAGTGCTTTTAAAAGTGTTTACAGCATGATGCCAGCCTGGACAAATAACCCAGGTGTCTGCCCTTTCCTTCCTCGCTGCTTGGAGGGCTCTTTATCCCCACGAGTCCCTGCCCCGCAGGCAGTCAGGGTGTAACCCCATCTCTGCAGCAGAGAGTGTAAGTCTAACACCCTCAATAGTTCAGCAAACCCAGTAGATGAATTTCCAGAAACCATTTGCTCCCAGTGAGACCAGTGGCAGGCACAGGGAGCACCTGGTTACGCTGTGCTGCTCCTTCCCAGTCCTGCAGTGGAGTGCAGCACAGAGACAGCCCTGCACAGGTGGCACTGGGACCGAGGTGTGGAGGAACCACGTGCTCCTTCCAGGCTGCAGGACTCTCAGCACACACACTGCAGGAGCTGGTGGCATTTTCTCCAAGTGCAGTTGCTCTGTTGGACATGGGGGAACCTAAAACCACCTCTGAGATGAGCAGAGAGAAAATAAAATTCTTATGACTGTCTTTAAACCAGTACTTTCATAGTCTAGGGATTTTTCCACTGCCTTGTGAGTTCATTTGTCATCTTCCATGCCCAGCTTAACAAATGATTCATGGGGGGTAATGTGACTGTTGCATTTTTTACACTACTGTCTGTACATAACAGCTGCTAAATCTGTAAATCTATTTACTAGCTTGGTTGACCTATCCTGGTCATACATGCTATTAATAGAAATGCTTTTCTGTGTATTTATAGTCTTCCTTCTGAATATGTGAACTGTCATCTGTATTAATGTATTTATTCTTTTTCCTTTAGATCAACTAGTCATACAGAATTGACAAGAAAAGCTTCTAGCAGTGAAAAAGACACCAAATCCGTTGTAGTTTTAGATCCTGTGTCCACCAGTGGGGATCAGATGTCCGAAAACACCTTGAACCGGAGCAAAATAAAAGAAGAAAAAAGCAAGCCAACACATAAAGAAAATAATGTTGAGAAAATAAAAGAAACAGATAGTTCTAACTGTTAATTGTTATTCTGAAAGGCTGTAACTTTTGGGAATCATTATCTGGACATGTGAATTGCTTAGGTGTGTTACTAGGGGCTACAGCCTGTGCTCCAGACAGTTTTCAATAATACAGATTGAAATGGGTTTTTGTATGCAGTTTTGTTACATGCACTGAGGTGTTAAACAACTGTGTGTCACTCAAAATCCCTTTCCCATTTTAATTTTGCAGGGAAGGTTATTAATTTCTTAGATACTGTCAGTTACCTTTACTTTTAAACTCTATTTGAAAAGGCTTTTTAAATTCTTCTTTTATTGAGAAGATGCCTTTTCAGAGGTTACCAGAAGCCCCTTGCATCCCTCTTGAACAGGACAGCTTTGGGTTAGACCCTGTGAAGGTGACTGCACCCTCATCAGCTTCAGTATCGTAGGTGTTACTATTAAAAAAACGCAAACCAATGTGTTTAGACACGCTGCTTTAAAAGTATTTGATATCTCCTTTAACCAAGATCCTGCTGGTCCCCTCACTGCTGTCCCCACACACATTCTTTTGAGGAAGTGAAAAGCACAAGCACAAGCCTCCCATTTCAGGTTGCCCAGGGGACAGCTTGTCCAGAGGCCGAAAAGCAGAGGCAGTGCAGCATCTCATTGTGGTACCAAGACTCCTGGCAACAATAGCCAGAGTCAGAGGTTTGTGGGCTGAGACTGGTGCTCTCATTTGGATGAAAAGCTTTGCAAAGGAGGACTTACTGCTGGTTTTTGTTTCAATGTTATATGGCAAATTTCGGAACTGCTGCAACTGGAGTTGCATTTACTGCAAGAAAATAAGTTGCCCTAGGCCATGGCTGGCATGGGCTACTTTTGGGATTCAGTCATTGTAGGACTGCAAGTTATTTGGAATCAACATATTGAGAACTCTCAGTTGAAAGCTCACAGTGCTAACAAGTTAGCCCCTGCTTTGAACCTGGCACACACTGATGGCAATAATGTCTTTATTAGGTGACACTTGAGATGTCTGTATTTGAGAACAGAAATCCCAGTTTCTCTCAGCCCTTATTTTCTATGAAGACAGTGAGATAGGGACATAATTGATTTGCTCCACTGCCAATTCACATTCCACTCTAGTCTCTTTTTAAATTCAACACGGTATCTCATTCTTTTATAATGAATCAACAAATGTAATCAGGGATTTACCAAAAGATTGGTATTGGGTGGTCACGTACTTGAATGCACTTGGATTCTTTTTTATTTAATTGTTTGAAACAGTGGTAGTATTGAAGGATGAATGTTCTGAGTTTGTTGGTTTGGCTCTGCATGCAGCTGTCTGGTGCTTTTCCTGAAAATAAAATGATAGTTATGAGTGTGGTGGTTTCATATCTATTTCAGTGGGTTTTGCATGTTTGCTAAGAAAACCTTGGACTCGATCTAATTACTGAACTACATACAATTCCTAAACTTGGGGAAATTTGTCTCTCATCGATGTTTTCATTTCTTGGGGGCTGTTGGTTCTGTTTGTAATTTTTCACTTAGTTATCTGTTACACTGAATTTAAAATGCAACATTTCATCTATGTATTTTTCCTTAAATTACTGCTGCCGTATCATATGTTCAAATTTTCACAGTATACATAAAACAGAAGTTTTTTCAAGAAGTGTTTCTTTTACTTAAACTGTTTTGTTACCTAGGGCATAAATTATTTAACTTTTCATTGTTGCTTATTAAAAATACTCCTGACAAGTTTCCCAGACCTTGTGGAATTGACTTATTACTCCCTGCTTCCTAGTGATGCTGGTCACAGCTTTGTGCCCTACGTGTGGGGGTTGCAGCGATGCACTTGTACTGACAGCTACAACTGGAGCAAAATCTCCCGGGCAGGCTGGATCCAAGAGCAGCATTGAGGGGGATGAAGCAGCGAACAGGCAAGGCCTTTGTTTTTTGTAAAATGTGGTGATGGTTTTTTTTTTTTGTTTGTCAACAGCTTGGTCTTTGTACAGAGAGAGATTTCCACTTCCCCAAAACAAACATTTAGCTTTGGACTTAACACAGCACAGTTTGTTTTGTCAACTTGTAAACACAGCACGGAATTTTGTGGTGTTTTTAAACTATAGTCACTGCTGAGTTAACTTGGTTTCAGCTGAAGGCAATGGCCCCTGGGAAAAAAGAGGCCAGTGTTTGAAAGCTTTTAGAAATGTTTGGCTAAAGTGCTTGAAAATGAATGGATTAAAGAAAAGTTAATATATGAATTTCATACTAGAATGAAAATAAATGGATTAAGGAATAGTTATATAAATATATGAGTTTCTGACTAGAATATTTTTTCTTAGAAATTTATCCTAAAGGTAATGTTGACAGCCTGGGTCAGTGTGCTGTTCTCTGGGAGCTGAGCAGGGAGGCTGTGAACCTGCAAGAGCTGTGGAGGCAGCTAATTCTGCTCTGGGGGAGGAAGTTCATCAGAAGGCTGATTTTCTGGCTGTGATTCTTCAGCAAAAGCAACAAATTCTAGTTTTGTTTCACCTGAAATAGAAGAGAAAAAAGAAACTCGTGTTTGGTGCAGTCTGGTTTCTTGATACATTCTCTGGTGCACACATATTTTTAAGATGCCACATGATGCTTACAGGAGTTTAAATAGTTTTCAAAGTCTGGTCCTTAGAAAGAAAGGAGCACCAGTCCCACACTTTGATTACAGGATCAGGGCATGGTGCACAGCAGCCCGAGCTGGGATATTTATTGCATTCCGTTCTCCATGGATCATCTCACCTTGCCTCCCTATTTTTTTGAACATCCATCCTCCTCTGCACTGGTGCTCTTGGTAAGTTCCCCCAGCTGACTCTGCCCTTCTCTACCCCAGCCTTTAACCATCTCAGGTAAGCCCGTGTCCCGATGCCGATCCCGTGACTGCAGTTCACGGTTACTGCCACTGCCTGCTGTTTTCCCCAGCTCTATTGTCCTGCTTCCCCAACCTCAGCACCCACCTCGCTGATGCCCCCCGTGCCCCTGTGCTGCTGTCGGGAAGGGAAGGCTGGTCTGTGATCCAGCAGGTCGCTCACCCAGCCGGGTGAAGGCGGTGGCTGAGCTGTGCTCGGGGACAGGGACCGACAGCGGGACAGCCACAGCGGGCACGCTGTGTGCCCCCCGCTCCTGTCCTGGGGGCTCCTGGCGGGTCGGGGTCCCCCGGCAAGGATGAGCCCCGAGCGGCTCTCCCGTGCGTTCCCCAGCCCGGGGAGGAGTTCCATGAGCGGCTCAGACGGGCTACCTCACTACTGCCCTGCTGGGCAGTCATTTACCGGGTTTTGGTTCTGCCAAACCATTAACGCTGTTGGGAATTGTTGCTATTTTATTTCATGACATATAGGTCTAAATATTTGTCAGACTCGAGCTCCTTTGCTTAGACTATACCACTTGAGTAGGGAATATATTAATATTGCTGAAGCAGTTAAAATTCATAGTTGTCATTATCTGTCTTGTTTTTGAAAAGTGCATTGTGTGAAAATACTTTCTTAGCAAAAAAAAAAATCCTATGTTTCTATTTTTCACAATGATTATTTATGAGCAGGGGAGAGATTTCAAAATCCTTAAAATATTTTCAATAAAAAAACTTTCAGCTAAAAACTTTGATCTGTAGCATGCATATCAAGTGCTGCTACCCTTTGTCTAGAACATTGAAAATTATTATAACCAGGCAGGTAAAATGGCTTAGTTCTCCTGCATGTTTCTTTTTCTTGGGCTTAATAAAATTCTGGCAAAGCTTTTCCTTCCCTTTCCTTCCTTTCTTCCTCTCCTTGTCTCTCTGCCTCCCCTTCAGACTGCATTTCTTTATTCTAGCTTGATTGATACCTGAGCAAGTGAGAAATGGCTCTAATGAACTGTTCAGCATTTAACAGTGCCGTGGTTTAGTGTAAAAAGAAGATGCAGACCCTGAAATGCAGGCAGGCAGATGCATACAAGTGGCTAAGGCTGAATGTGAATCGTCCACTTCGGGTTTCCTTGGACTTTGCTTAGGGCTTACCCATGCAATTGTAGCTTTCCAAACACATTTTGCTGGTAACGAAACATACAAAAGAGGGTTGTGAAACGAAGTTTTGTTAGCAATATATGTTTAGGGGCTCAAGGGAGGTGGGGTATTTGGCCTAAAATTCCATTTTGGCAGCTTTTCTACATGTTATATGCATGGGTTTTGTTTTGTTCCTTTTGCACTGTGGGCTTCAAGACTCCAACCAATTAATTCTGGAAAAAAAAAGCTTAATGTAGGCTATTCCTCAAGAAGGGGTCTATTTTAACATTCAGTAAACAGATAATCCATTAGGACAACAATATACATTGTGGCAAGTGCTATCCTAGGTTTTTTTTGTCAGCCCTTATTTATAGTCTTTTGATTTCGCTTCCCTCCTGTGGTGCAGTTTCAATCATTCTCCCTCCAATCTTTGTTCCCGTATTCATTGCGGGCTGAAAACAAAGTAAGAAAGAAGCTCATACGTAGATTTCCATTCTTGGCCAGTTCTTCCTCTATAGCCAGAAGGCGGTTGTATTTGGTCACCCTTTCTCCGCGGGAAAGACCTCCCAACTTGATAAACCTGGCACCCAGTCCAACGGCCTGACATGAGAGAGTGTGCATTTTAAAACCCATAGTTTGGGAAGTGAAGTCATTTTTTAATTATTAAACATGCTATCCTACTTCTAATTCAACACCCTCATCTTTCTCCAGAGAAAACACCCGCCATAAGTAGAAATAAAATCTCTTAATGAAAGATTTGCCAGGTGCAAACAATAATTTTCACTGGCATATGAAATGAAATTTTATTTGCAAATGTAGCTTTAGTACAAAAAGACTAAATATAATAGTGTTAAGAATTTTTGCTAAAAATATTATTACTACACAGGAATGTTTTAAGTAACTCAGAATTTTTTACAATCTAATGCAACCAAATAGATCATACACACTCTTGAATATACTCCCTGCTTTGGCAAATTTCCTGCAACATTCTCTTTAAACTCAGAGAATAACTCTCTGTGGGGAAAAAAAACCAACTCTCTAGAAAAAGCCCATTTTGTAAAAGCTTTTTTCTTTCTGAAGCACAAAAAGGGCTTCTCCTTAAAAAACTGTACATGTTAAAAGCAGTATTTTGGCAATTCTGCAGTTGAACAGCTTTCAATACCTACCAGGTCCACAAGGCTGTCATCAGAAGATTCTCCATCTGGGCTTCCTAACATGGTAATACGTCTCTGACCTGTATATAACAGGAGTGAAAACCTTCATTAGTGTATATTTTATGTACTCAACACAGAAACTGTTTGGAGTTCTCATTCAACCCTTGGGCTGTCTTAAGCTTAAATACAGACAGGAGTAAACCATTTCATAAAAATGTAAGCTATATTAGTTTGCTGCATTAACATTATGCTTTATTTTCAGCATGGATAAGGGAATATCCTCTCCGAGTTTCTGTCTCTCACCGATCTGTCTGATCAGGCTAGAAAGCAGTTCTATTTATTTTAAATGTACTCCTTTATACAGTAATGATTTTTCTTCACTATAAAAAAGAGTTTACAATCCTGACTGAATGAAATCTTTTAGTTGCTATTTTCTCTCTTTGATACAGTGATTCTTGGTGTTTTTAAGGAATTGGGAAAGAACTTAGATGTATTAGATGGATTAAATTTGTTCATCTATTCCTTGGGTATAAAAATGAGTAAAGAAAAAGTGATACAAAGAAAAATCTTATATAGGAAACTGCACAAGTTCTTAGTACTGTTACCATGAAGGCTCAATAATTTGTAGTCAATAATCTGCACAAACCACAATTTTAAACATTTTGGACTTTCTGGATTTTTAAAATTAAAAATACTAGTAATAGTCAAAATTCAGATTGACCACATCTTTCTTATTTTTTTTAAGTCCTGATCTCTTATAGTGTAACTCTTATCTGCAGTGTCAAAGGGCACCCACATCCAAAACATCCATAATGTATTAACTGACTAGAGTTGAAGCCTTGAATGCAGTTTTAACCCCCTGGACAGACATCTGTGAATCAAAACATGAATTTCAGGTTCTTCTGACAAATGCTTTCTAAATTAGAAGTGGCTGTAATTAAATAAAGAGATGTAATCTTTACAGGTGTAGTTTGTAGGGTAAAAAAATCAGCCCTTCCCCACCTCTACTCACCATTGAGAATTCCAGTAAGTTCTATGAGGTCTGAAACCTTGGTTTGGTTAATATATTTTAGGACAACACCACTGCACATTGGTGTGTTTATGTTTTGGTCAATTTTAAGTTTGGAAATACATGTGGCAGCATCTTCAGCAATCAGGTAACATTTGGAACCAAGGGCACAACATATGTTACTCCATTGTTCTCTGTCCTGCATAAAACAAATCAAGTAAATAACTAGAGTTTAAAAAAATTAAACAGAATGAAAACTCTGAGTAGGTAAAAATAATTTTTAAAAAGTGAAATAAATTTGGGGTTAATCCTAAAGACACCCTTCATATACAAATATTATATTTTATACTATATTTTAAATCTGCCTACCTAAGAAAAACATACCACTGGGATTTTCCTTGATTGTAAGATTTTGTTTGAGAACATAAATGTTAATCTGGAATTAATCAACACTATTTGCATAAAATATATTTTAAAATATTTCAAATTAAATTAACTGTGGGGGATTGCTATTTTGATTTCGTTCCTGAAATTTATTTAATTTTAATGGAATATGAAATAATTGCCTATTGTTTTAGTCAGATGTGTTAATATTTCAAGTATCATAGTTATTTGAATATAAAATAATGCAACAGGAGACAGTCTTAGACTCAATGACTTGTATCAGGACAGGGTAATCAGAGATGTAAGACTGACCCATAGGAAACAGCACAATAAAACGCTCTCTTTCCAGCAAAGCTCCATTTTTTAGGATTTTTAGGATATGTTTCTTGATTTTAATGCACTGTCCACATGGTGCATGGTACAGGATAAATAAAGGACAAGGATATTTTAAAAATGAGAAAGAAGCAAAATTATTATTTGGTTGCTTCATGTCCACAGAATGCAAAGTTGAAAATATTATTTTTCTACTTCATAATTCTGCCAGTAGTAATTCTTGGTCTCTGTATCAGACAGACTTTTGTACTCATCTAGTTGCAGTCTATATCAGGGTCCATTCCTGCACAGATTTCCATCCTGTATGTAAATGAAGTCTTGGACACCTGAACAGATGTTTAAACTTAAGCACTAAAGTGGTCTCATGTCTGCCAATGAATTATTGAACTGGTACAAGAGCTAATCCTCCAGGACCTGTGGATCTGTGGCAAACATGTGGCACGGGGAAACTTTGTAGATTTGCTAGGAGCAGAAGCAGAGGAGCAGAGGCATTTTCCTTAATGGTTCTCTGATTCCAAGTGTACTGCACTGTCTGTAATTCTCCTGCAGACTCTCATACTGCAAATGTGTTTCTTCATGAGCTTTCTCAAGGAAGTTTGCAGCCCCAGCAGGAGCAGGAAATTATCTGGTGTTTTGGAAGATGGTACTTCAGAGAGTCAGACTGAAACAACACAGGGAGGCGAGGCTAACTCGAGGAAGGTAAGAGTAAATGCAGATATTTGAAAAATGAACTTTTAACATTCTAGTTAAGGACAGAATCAGATGGATTTTGCAGTTCATCCATTTTAGAGTTATTGAGTCAGGCACTGGACATAATTATGTCAAAAGTACAGAAGAGTTATTGTCAATAAATGACATGCAAATGAGTTGTTAGATGCATTTTTGTAGTGACATTTTTGTGCTTAAAGACTCAGGAAAACAAAAGCTTTGTATTCTGCATATATTGAAAAAATGAGAAAAGATCAGTGATGTGCCACTGAACAGTATTACCAGGATTTTCACGGACTGCACTGTGGTATCTTACCTCTTTTCTTAAGGGATCTATTAATGCAATTATAAAAGGAAATTTATCAATCAGTTCCTCATACATAGCAACCATTTCATCTGGGCTTTTGAAAGTTCCAGTGAGGATTTCATATTTTCCTTTGTCCTAGAAAGTAAAGGCATAAAAGATAAGGAAGGTAAGAGCTTAAAAACCAGAGTACTAATGTAAGCAAACACATATTTTGATACTAACATATTTATTAAGATATGTGTCTTCTTCAGTCAGGAGGCATTTACTCCTCTGCTTCAATCCGTGCCTAAGTTAGCAGGTTGGAAGTTTGAAGAAAACAACAGATGTAGTGTAATATAATGGGAAAATGAGCATCTAGTGGTGTTAAGGAATTACAGAACTATACTTGTGTAAATAATTTCTTGTTCTTCATCTTTGAAATTAAGGTGGATAGAGTATAATTATTTCATTTATACCTTGTGGTGAAGTCAAAAAACCGAACAACGAACTAAACAAACAAACCAACCAACCAGGATTTGCTGCTTTATACTTAAATTCCAAATTCTCTGAGACGTAATGTGAAATGAAGCTGGTTTGTTAAACAGAGCATGCAGGAGGTGTTTACCCATTAAAGCACTTGGCTATATTTGATACAAACTGATCTGAAAAATCAGTTTGTTAAATAAATAGAGAAAAGGAATAAACCAGGCTGATGCAGGCAGGCTTATACCATTTGAATGATTCAAGTGAAGCCATGCAAGTAACAGAAATCCCTGTAGGAGGACACAAGCTGTACCAGGGGTCTGCCTTGGCCCAGTGAGCCTTATTCTCACAAGGTGTGCCACCAGTATGTTGGTACTGTTCTCAGTGCTCCTGCTGTGTCAGGCTGCATGTCCCATCCCCTTGCACTCCCAATCCAGTGACATATCTGCCACACTTGTAGGACTGATTCAACCATAATTTATAAATGTCGAGGTAATTCTTTTTGTTTGCTTGATTGCTACCTTAAAAATGGAGCTAGAAGCTTCTAGGTGAGTTTGCAATGCAAAATAAATAATGTTAACAAACAGCTACGTTCCTTTTGAAACCCAAGAAAATAGATATTGAGAAATAACTTACATAATCCATTAATTCATGAGCAGCGCAATTTATTGCTAAGTACACATCTGTTCCTAGCTGAAGACCTATGTTGCTGCAAGCTGTTTGCATTACGAGTAGCAGCTGTTCTACATCATCATATCCTGTTGTTAGGCAACCTAAGTGTGATATTCTTTTTAAGAACTGTGGCTGAAAACAAAACAAAAAGAATCACTTCATTTACAAACATATATATTATATATATACTCACTATCATTTCACTCTGCATTTAATCTTCAAATTGTAAATCTGTTCTCAAAAACTGCATTGGCAACCTTAAGGACAATTCTCTAGGAAAGAGGGATAATCAATTGCTAATGATTAGAGAGCTGACAGTCCTTGGAAATGTGTCTCATCCTGTAGTTCTTCATCCTCTATGGCCAGTACTGGTTTACAAGAAAATTTTAAAGGCACTCTTAACAACTCCTGAATTGTCACGAATGCTCTGGTGCTGCAGACCACCCCTTTGCCAAAAAACGTATTTTCCTCTTTAAACAGTTTCTAGCCATTTATCCTCAACTGCAACTTTGATATTGACTCTATGGAGCGTTCCAGAAACCCTAGAATCTCCTAAGAATTCTAGAAGGAACAAACTTCAGAGAGGGGAAATAACTCTAGCCCAGCTACGTGCAGTTATCTGCTTCAGGGACAGTATTGCTGGAAATGTGCCACCAGCAGAGTTGTATTGAGCAAGTATTTCACGTGTTCTTCTGTTGTCAGGTTTTTTTGTAGGTTTTGGAAACACTGAATTTTAACTTTAAAGTCTGTGAATTTTGGATTATAAAGAATGACATTAAGTTGCCTAGAAAGCAGCAGGATATAATCCTGGGTTAGACTGGAGAGATCAATTGGAAGGCATCACTTTTGACAAGAGCTAGAGAACTAACAACAGACAGAACAGGTGCTTAGCTTAGAAACATATGAATGTTTCTTCACATAAAAAAAGGTCAAATTGTTAGGAGACTATTTTGTAGCAACATGGAAGACAATCTGACTTGTTGCTTTTGGAGCATTAAGCTGCAGGAACAGACAGCAAGAAATGCTGCAGTCTTCCTGCAGTTATCGTCAGACAGAGGTTGAGTCTGCAGTTTCATGTGATTTTCTGTCTAATATTTACTTCTATAACCTAAATAGGTTCTTCACTGCCTACTTTGTCATTTTTTCCTTTTTTTTTCTCCTCATAAAAGTTAAAACTAACACGGTGCTTTTATCAGTTTAAAATTCAGTGTAATTACTACCTCCTTTAGTATTCCTTTGTTGAAATAAATGGAAATTTTTTTTCAGAGAATCTAAAGCATTTTTTCTTTGTGTATATCTTATGGATTATTCTAACTAAGAGCAGCAGCTTAATGAAGAAGAATTTTGTGTTGTGTAAGTAAGAATAAAATAGAAAAACTTTTGGTTATCCTTTCTTTTGTATACTCCACAACAGTGACAATTCTCACTTGATAATATTTTAATCAGCTCAGATTGGAGAGAAAACCTGCATGGCATTTCCATCCCACGATTTGGAAAACTCATCTGTAAGCCACAGGTTTTGAAGTGATAAAAAAAAATCACTTGAGTCATATAAAATAATGTCCTGTGTCCTAATGTGAGTGTTGCCCTTTAGCTACTGATTTGTATCTGCCATTATCTGTAACCTCAGACTGGAACTGGGAATTGGATGCAGCACAATTAAGAGGGGAGTTATTCTCCCAGGGTTAGGAAACAGCACAATATTCAGGTCTTACAGGTAGTAGTGTTATGGCCTTCATAATCAAAGGACATGTTTCTCTGCTGGTGCTACAGGCTTGCAAAATGCTCATTTGGATAATTTACCAGGATTTCTATATAAGAAAAATCATCAGATCCCAGAAAAATTTCCCCTATTGTTCCACAGGAAGGGAAGGTATAGTCAGAAGGATCTTAATTTTTATGTAAGATATGAGCATTTGGAATATTTAGGTCTTGCCTTGACCTTTCCAAAATGGTGATGTAGATTAATGCCTTATTTCTTAAGAATATTTTGGTTCCCTGCTGTTGTTAATACCTTGCTGAAGGCTTAAAATGAAAATCTCTTTTCTTACCAGACCTTTCTTCCCTGGATTTTGTGCTTTTCCTTTTTTACTCTCTGCTGGTTGAGGATCAGGCTGTTGAGGGTGAAAGAAGAAAGAAATCAATACCATGGAAAAATACAAAGATGGCAGAAAGACCTCAGGGGAAAAAAAGGAAAAAAAAAAAAAAAGATTGAATTTTGGTCTAAAGAGGTTACAAATATTTAAGCTATGAAATAACCTCTATTTTGTCTTAAATACTATCAGCAACTATCCAGTTTTATTTTGTGCTGGTGACTCATTTAAAATGTTTATTTCTATGTGAGCATCAGTCCAACCATCATTTGTTTTTCAAAACATTCTCACCCAGTCCATCAAAAATAGAGAATCTCAGAAATGAGAATCTAGACTCTGTACTTGGAGAAACACAACAACCCCACTTTCCAAAAAGCTTATGCACACACCAAGACTGACATACTGCTACAGTAATAATACCTTGAATAAAACATGTTGTGTGTGAGAGGCATAGCAAGATCAGAGCTATATATATTGTATATTCACTTTGGTATGATTCCCTCCCAGTATATTTCTGCAGGTAAACAGAAAGTCTTACTATGCTTAGAACAATGATTTATTCTGTATTTTTTAATGTAGTATCACCAAATGGCCAATGTTTTATTCATCTGTCAGAGAAACACATCTTCTGTTCTCTGTCATGAACTCTGAAGGCTAAGTGTCCCATGTTTATGTTTAAAAGGACAGTAGCAGCAAATCAAATGAAGTGTATCACTTTATTAGTACACATTTTTATTGTACCATTTTGCCCGGGGACTCCAACAGTCTTGTCATTTCCTTCTGAATATGCAGAATCCTTTCTATGCCCTGAAATTAAACCCCAATGAAGTTAAACAAAAATAAACAAAAATATTTTTCATTTTAGATGCTTAAATCGGAAAACACTTATTCTAAATACAAATCTTAATATACAGTCTTAAAAAAAAAAAACAAAAACCAAACCACAACTATTACAGACTCCTTAACACAATCTGTCCACCCACAAAATGCAGCCAAGTGCCCAATCATAAAGGGTTAGTAGCAGTGGAAAGGACAGGAATATTTGATCATGCTGCTGAATGGGATGGCAAGTAAAGCAGTCTCTTCCCCTAAAGAAGCCCTTCCCAAATCTAACAAGTAAACAGCATGCAGGTCTGCATAACATCCGAGAAGTGAGAAGATGATAATCCCTGTCCACAATTGTGACTCTAAGACTTCCTAACTGGAAAGTCTGAAAAGGTTGAATGCATTTACTTCAGACTATTTCCAGGAAGCACGAAAAAAAAATCTCTTTCTTAATATTAGACAGTGAGTAACACTCCAATTAAATTAATCCATTGTTTTTAATGCAAGACTCATCCTTTTCAGCTGAGTTAGTAAAATTCAGTAAAACTTGAAAAACTTGGTAAATCCCAATTGAGATTTCCTCAAACTGTGTCAGTAAAGGAATACTGAAGGGGGCAGAAGTCAGTCACAGCTGACAACACATCAACACGGGAGGAACAGGCTGTTTTGCACTGCAGCAAACAGCTCGTTACTCTCCCATGAGCGCTAGAAGGAATTCTGGCTTTGAACGGCACAGAATTAGCAACCTTATTAACAGCTCTTGGTGGCAATTCGAAAAAGTTTAAGGAAAAGCAAAAAGAAAATCGAGCTCAACTATTTGTTCAGATCACCAGCATACACAGTAGAAATCACAGCCCTAATGTAGGCATCTTGTGCCAGTATATTCTTTAATACAACACACAGCTAAACAAAAAGAGAGGGTTGGTCCCATCTGTCTCACCTATCCTTCTTGCTCTTTGTACTCCCTTCTATCTTCACAATTTCATTTTAAAGCAACTTATTTCTACATATTTTATGCTTTCCTGTGAATTTGCTGAGTTTTGTTGTTTTGTATGCATATCAACCGATACTATTTATAACCTACTAATGTAAAATCACATCCTAAGCTCTTGTTCTGTAGCACAATTCCCTAACATCTTCTTCAACGCACTGTTTTTTACCTCTATACTAGCATACATTTTTAACTTGAAATATTTCTGGGTTTTGTTTTAAATCTTCATCTTTTTGCTTAATTTAATATTATTTGCATTAGAATTCTGCAAATTTGACAAATTTAGCATTTGTTAAAACTTCAGCCTTGAGAGCAAACAAAAAATAAAAAAATACAGTTTGTAAGGACTATATTGAAAAGACTTATATACTTATGTGCATACATAGTATGGTATCTGTAGAATACATAGATAAAGAAACAAAAGTGAACAGTACCTGTCTGAGTGACAACTGAACTGGTGGTATAAGCATAACTTCTTTCACTAATTTCAGCTTCGAAGGGGAAGTTTTTTCACAGTTCAGCAGAGTAACCATTGGAAGTGGCAGAGTAATTTCTTCAGGTGGCTCCTGTAATTGGGAGCACCAGGTGAAAATAATAATGTAAAAATCAGAATAATGTCTTATATATTTGAATTATGGCATGAGGTTCAAAGATTGCTACAGGCAATGGTGTTAAGGGTGTATTCTATGACATAAATTTAATGAGACTGTCACGAGGCACTGGTGGCTTCAGAATTCTACAACAACTATGGTAACTGGGATAAAAGAAACAAAATGGCAAAAGCCACATGTACCTGATCATGTTTCAGCAGTGCAATATGTGAGTACAGCGGGATGTGGCTGATGGTGGCACCAGCCTTTGCAATGGCAAGGGAGGTTCCCCCGATGGCCAAGCTGCCACAAAGCACCGGTGCAGCAGGTTCTGCAGGTGGGATGGGTCTCTCTTCCACTGACAACTTCTTTCCTACAAGACAGGGAGCAGCAGCTAAGTATTTTCTTGGTTGAAACACATGCTTCTGTATCACAGTTATATGAGTAAATACGATATTGTCATTTCAGTGTGTACTCAATGCATTAAAAAATAATAACTTATTTTTTTAAAACCTCATCTTGTCAGTTGTTTTACATGAAATGACCTTACAAGTAAGCAAAGTATCTGTCCTCACTCTGGTTTCAAATGCATTTTAAATCTGTTTCTTTTGGAGATCTTTCAGGCACTGAAATCTGTATTTTTATTTATCTATGTTTACATCCAATAACATTATATAATTTTTCAAAAGCATGTTTTCAGTCTTTTTTATTGTGCTCCTGCAATTCTCAGCTTTTGCATAACAACCTGGAAGACTACATTATAACCTGATTGGGAGTATGCATGCTTGATTTCTTGTAATAATGACTGTGAAAAAAAATTAGGCCTATTTTAGCTGGAATTTCCAAAGAGAAAACAGGTCTTTTAAATATTACACATCCATAGTCTTAATATATTTTCATAAGAAATTATTTCCCTTTCAGATACAGTAACTTTTTCTAAAATGCTTAAAACAAAGCAGTTCTCACCATCATATTTA